ATTGTATTGTTGATATGAATTACCGGTAAGATTTTTTAAGGTACGAGAGTGCAATTTCCGGAACTCTCAAGCACCCCTATTGCCAAATCCTGCATCCGCAACCAGGACAGAAGTATATATTATAAACAGAGAGAATGATGTGGTAGTACTAGTAGTTGCAGCCTTATTCCGAGTACACACTCGAGAACGCAACGACTACACAGCGTATAATAATAATAATAATAAATTTATTCTTATATAGCGCAAAATGCAAGAAACCTCTAAGTGCTTTACAATGAAAGGAAAACCCGGATCAAAATAAAAGAAAAATGAATACAACAGTGAGGGAAATCAGGTTAACATTATGAATGAATATTTATTTATATAAGGATGATGACAGCCACGCGACGGATAGGACGTCATCCAGATTAATGATTTATACATCCAATTTGATAAACTCAAAGTGGTCTCACAGTTGCTTTAATAATGAGGTTACGTAGTACTAGTAGTAGTAGGCCTAGTTCTCATTCATAACGTAAGGATGACCTTGGGTTACTAAAACTCCCTGCAACTTTAACATTAACTACTCATGTCACTGTACTTACCACGACTCCTGGCTGGTGAAACCCAGCACTTGTGTAAAATGTCGTAATCCGGTAGTAGATAGATAGCACTGTTCTGTAGTACGCCCTGGTTGGTAGCTAGCCAGAAGTAAGAAGGTACACGGGGGATGATGATGATGATCTCTGTACAGTAGGCCTATGTTGTGACGTGGGCCTGTGCAGGATATCAGCCCCAGTCTCTCTATCTAGTCTACCTTTGCGGATTCACGGCTTAAATCACAGCCATGAAGAGAAACAAACCTGAAACCGATATTAACTTTCTTTCTTTCGAAGCAGATCCATGAAGAAAAAGTACACCGACTCGCAACTATTACTACACATACTGAGGATCAACAAATATAGAATCTGACCTTGACTTCACAATCATCTTTGAACCAATTCACCCTGCGCCCTCTATAGCTGCTCCTGAAGTTTTATACGTTTATTAGTTTTTGTATTGGCCATCTTAGTATTCACGATGAAGTGAATCAAGCTAAATGTCATACGTGCTTGACTGGTGAAGGGTTGTAAGAAGTGATGCGCGCAGCCTGATCTTATTATTCCATTATCCATTGCAAAAAAGAAATAAGATATGAACTCATTTTTAATTCAAACATATTCTTTAATCGACACACAAAAACCATTCTGTCAATTCATTTTCATTTTCGATATATTTCAACATAAAACAATTTATTTTACAGTTGTGTTTCTTAAGTATATTATTTTGAGCAATTCCGTCTCGTGCTGGCTAGCATTTCTACTATTCTGTTTTGCATTTTTTGTTGTATGTTTGTCATGTGTTTAATTGAAGACGAAATAAATGATATGCTATGACATGATCCTCTTGAGAACTAACTATTAACAATACTCTATTATATGTATATGTAAATTGATGCTCTTGGATTCCAAGATGTATGGCAGATTTAGAGATTTCCTATATGTTTAACGATTCAGCTTGATTGAGCATTCCTGGGGTATGTGGGCCATTAGGACCTTCGTGGAGTAACGTCCCTGCTCCGATAATGAATAGTTCGGTTATGCAAGTTATTAGGACCTTAGTGAAGTAATGCCCCTACCTTAGTAATGCATAGTTTGGTTAGGGTGGGATATGCGGGTCATTAGGACCTTAGTGAAGTAACGCTACCGTATTTATGCATAGTTCGTTTAGGGTATGCGGGTAATTTGGACCTTAGGGAAATGACGTCCCTACCGCTCCGAATTCAAAGGTTTAATTACTCATGCTTTCTTTTCATGGTAGGCATTGTTCTTTATTGTGTTTCATGATTAACTCCGGAATAAAAATTGAATTCAATTGAATATGATATCCATAGTATATTTTAGGCTCCTCCTAAGCCCAACATTTCTTAGTTGCTTGAACATGAAATGACTTTTCTATCATTCGATAATTTAGTCTATACCAAATCAAACCTGCTGATTTTTCCCTGCACCCTGACCGGGGACATTTGCCCTTGATTCCGGATTGGACTCACATTAGTCAGCATTAGTACAGTATCATCACTGGAAAAATGCCACCACCTATCAACATTATCACCATCATCATCTCGACGTCATCGCCATCATCATCATCATCATCATCATAATCATCATCATCATCGTCATCATCATTATTATCTCCATCGTCATTATCACCGTTATCGTCATCGTCGCCGTAATCGTTATCATTATCCCCTCATCATAATTATTATCATAATTATATTATTTCTGGGCATAAACGTAAACGAAGTAGGACTTCTGGACCCTGTAAATCCAACCACATTCAAAAGCATTGTTCCCCTCCATTCTTTCACACAAAAAAAAAAAAAAAAAAAAAATAAAAAAATAGAAAAAAAAACTGGATCGCCCTTGAATGTTAGTAAGCCTACTCTATTAGGTATGTATTTGGGTAGATATCTGTCCTGGAGGTAAGTATACTTACACGTCATGTCTGTCTGCTATAAATATACAAAGAAATGACTAGAATTCACGTGTAATCGGTATAAGGCCTACCAGAAGGCCCACAGCACTTAATCAACTTTTGTTTTATCATTTCAAGTGATAGTTCAACTCTACATTTGTCTTATTCACCTGATTTAAAATAGTCCTCGAATTGTGATTTAGACATTAATTTTAAGTAATACTATAACATCATGCTGAGTTTAGATATAGGCCTAGCATTAACCTTCGTGCTTTTCTGGGCCCATTCTTCTTGTTGTAAAGGGCATAGACCTTAATGATTATCTCTTTTGTAAATATAGGCCTAATGTTTTCTTGAGTCATACCAGTAAGAATAAGATGCCCTGTAAGGCCATGCTCTTTAAAAAAAATCTTCTTATTGGAGGGTCCCTCATGAACAATACGGACACAACCCTCTAATCAGCTATGGGGATATAATCAGGCCACGAAAAGAAATACCGGATTAGTGTCCGGTGTGAGCAATTTTATATATATATATATATATATAGATACATAAGATAGTGTAATATACTCCAAGTATCGAAATGCACGCCATCGTGTGGGGATTCAATATTTCGACATTAATTATGTCTTCAACAGGAATAGGCCTAGATACATTTTTAGTAAAAGTACGATATATACTTGTACTACGTATTTTTATGACGTAAAGTAGCAGAATTTTCTCTATAAAGTCCTCGTATTTTGTCTGCCAATGGACATGATGGGGAGGGGTGGAGGCTACAGTTTGACAGCTGCTATTTCTGGACATCCAAAATTGTCATAATTATTTTCAATTCTAGATCCATGCTAACTTCATATCTTGTAGCTGCCTCTTCAGGGGAGGGAAGGGTAGCGGCACTACTACAGGTTGTCAGCATATCTGCGGGCATTCATGGTGCCAAAAAAGTTGTTCACCAACGCCATGGTGGGGCTGGAGTGGGTATGCTCTCAGACCTCACTAACTGTATCCGTGGATGTGGGTAGCAGATCTTCAGTCTTCCGTACTACTAAATTTGTTAAGTGCTCTCACTATAATGACCGGACCACTTGCAAAATGCTTCCGACGTCTATGCATTGTTGTATGTATCGTGGCATGGAAGAACACTGTATAGTATTAATCGAAGTACAGTAAATACAGAAAAGAAGAGAAAGTCCAAAAACAAGCTACGTTAATTCTCGAATTAAATTCAATGTACCAGTATCCATGGTTTCTAAACAAAAATCTCAACACCACTGTGTGCCCCTCCCCCATCCCTGCTCGGTACTTTGCACGTCGCCGTTGGCCCCTTGTTTTGATAAAGTGTCACTTCGATACCACCAATTATGTTGCTCCGAAGGAGGATGATACGGACAATCTCAATGAAATGACCATCGTCCTATGGCTAAATCGATGATGTAGTTTTTTTTTTATCACTTTCTAGGCCTAAATATTGTCTCTTATACACATCT